GATCATTGAGCATGATGTTTGAACTGAGCGCAAAAGCCTAATTCTCAATTATGGTCCGCTTATTTCTGCACCATAATTTTACCGAATTCACGATCTTTCCGGACATATGTGACGAAATATCTGAGTTATTATTGTCTCATCATCCTTAATTACTTTACCTGCATGACTATCTGAAACTCAATTAGAAATAAAAAGTGTACTAGATGGACGCAAATAGGTACTTGTTTTTAATAATGATTATGAGAGCATTTCATTGTGCTTATAACCACTAAATGACATCGATTTATTAAACAACCTAGACTTGATAAGATAATCATTATAAGGTCCTGTATATTCACTTATTGTAGTATTGCTTATAAGAGGTCGGACTATAATACATATAAGATCTTCTTTTATAAGTCAACATGCTTTCTTGCCCATTTACTCCAAGTATGCTTAGTTTTTGTGCTATTATCAGAATTGCTGGAGCGTGGTGCAATAATCTGGTTGAAGTAATAATATAACAATGCACAGTATTGCTGGTAACTGTCAGAATTACTGAAAAACAAAAGGTCAGTAATGTATAGGTACACACAGACCTTGAACTTAATAGTTTAATAGCTATTCTTGACTATCTGCAGATAAGGGGCTATTTGACCATGTTGTTACACAGTTAACTATGCTATTTGCTTTCATATAGTCCATTATGACATCTTAAGCCTTACAGCTTTTATTTTACTCAAATTTACTGTTCTGCACAAACTTGTAGTTCGACTATTTTTAGGTATTGTCTAATGGGTGCTAATGAATCAACAAAACGCAATAGGTTAGTAGCTTCCTTTCAATATCGCACATATTCCGTGAAGCTGGTCTCTTGAAAATGTATTAATCGTGAGATTCCGAAAAGTGGAAGTAAACACCATGAAGGATCGTTTGTATGTGTACCTTGGTTGCGCAACACAGTTAAAATAATGCCAGAATAATATAGTACAATAGAGTAATTAGACAATGCGAAAAGTTGCTTAATTTGTACCTAAAACAAGAGAGATTTGTTTAGCAAAGAAATTCATTCCTAGATTTTTTCAACCACAAATAAAATTATGTTTTTGATAATAATTATTTGTTTTATTTACATACTTCTGTTTGTACAGCTTTACCGAAGAAATCGTTAGAACAGTTTCGCAAAATTATATTCTCAAATTTATTTATCTTAATCGATACTTCCTGCTTAATTTTATACATATCCTCTGCCAAAAGTGCTTAATGTGACCTTTCTGTTAGAGAAGTGATCGATAACTATTATGAAAATCGAATAGTGTTAGAGAATAAAGGTAATCAATAAACCAGTCGAAACCTAAGATGTTATAAAAATTTGATTGACCCTAATAAAATTGTCATTAAAACCTATTTGACTTAATCGCACTCAAACGAAAAGTAGGGTCTATACAGTATACTCCATAAAACGTACATTAAACACAGAGAACGGACTCTGAAACCTATTCATTTTCGCGAAAATATTTCCCTGAAATTATTTCTCCTACACTTATTTTCTCAGTGGAAAACTATCATTCATTAATAAAAGTCAGCAATCTTGAAGCTAATTACCATTTTCTTGTTCCTTGTGAGGTGCGAGGCAAAGTTATCCAACATAATGAGCATTTAACGGTCAAAAATGCCCTTTTCATAACATCAAAATCGGCAATAATCTCTGCTGGAAAAGCGAAATACTCAGTAGGGAGTCAAATGGTTTGTCGTGTATATAGCCAGGAGTTGTGTAAATAGTTTGAAATAGCATGTCAGGCTCCTATACAATAACTAGCTATATGTTCTGTGATAACTGTTTGCTTGTAATGACCAACCAGCAAGGCTAGATATATTCGCTTCCACCTAGTTTTCGCAATGAATAATAACACGTTGGTTTTAGCATACCGATATGTATATTCTATATTATAATAATTCACTTTGATTTCCATAATCTTCACCTGAAATTTCTGTAGACAACTGTTTTATTTTACTGAAGGTTTACAGAAATCCTCTTCATGGATGACTTACGTACCCATCAATCGTGATTGCTCACAATGAACATATAGATTTAAAATGTCTAAAGTATAGATCTCTGACCCTAAAAAACTATAGAAGTTCACTGACTATTGAGATTTTCCTTCGTAGGCACAATAAATTTCTCAACATTAACAGAGGATATAATATGGACTTAAGTCTATTGTCGTGTTTAACCTAATTACCTTTAATATACTGAATTTAAACTAAAGGGACATTTAGTAAAATTTAGAAGTTTTATTAAGTATTGTATTACACAACCATTAAAATGTATCTTCGATCGCCAAGCCTCCAAATCTTTACAATTAAATGAACTAAGATGTTTATTTGGAGTTAAATATTAGGTCGAGGAGCCAGCCCCCAAATGCCCTGGTACGGCCGAGAGTGGGGAGAGTCCGCTCTCCCTCTCGAAATGTTCTCACATGGCCACGCGTACATAGCCTCTGCCAGGGAAGTCCTACTCACTGCCTTCACGTGGCGGGGGTGTTTACGAAAATGAGAGGACGAAAAACGAATGTCCGGCGCTTTAACCGGATCCCAAATCAATGGTGCACATGGGCTCCAGTATCCTGAGGGAACAAATGGCGTATGAACCAATCGTTGGTCACCAGCTACCATGGGACTGCATCTCCTCACGATGCTCCACTGCCTTGTGGGTCAAACGTTCAGGTCAAAGGCTCGGGGTGTGGCCCCCTAAGAAAACCACCTGCTTCGGTTTGGGCACCCGGGCAGTGTCACAGCCCTCACACAAATCAATTGCGATTCGTGTGGCGCATATGTATTTGGTGCCTCCTTGTACCAATACCTATGTGTTAAAATAAAATAAATAAATAAAACTTTAATTTTTCAACGTATTGATACATAATATTTAAGTCACCACTTCTATCAAACCTCGTTTTTAATTTTGAATAATACTTGCATAAACTAAAGCATTTAGCTATAAATAAAATAATGTATTTGTAATATCCCAATGAGTAGAAAAATTAGATTTTCAGACGTTTCGTGACTCAGTGTAAGCCACTTCGTTGTTAGCAATCGCAATTGATGGGTACGTAAGTCATCCATGAAGAGGATTTCTGTAAACCTTCAGTAAAATAAAACAGTTGTCTACAGAAATTTCAGGTGAAGATTATGGAAATCAAAGTGAATTATTATAATATAGAATATACATATCGGTATGCTAAAACCAACGTGTTATTATTCATTGCGAAAACTAGGTGGAAGCGAATATATCTAGCCTTGCTGGTTGGTCATTACAAGCAAACAGTTATCACAGAACATATAGCTAGTTATTGTATAGGAGCCTGACATGCTATTTCAAACTATTTACACAACTCCTGGCTATATACACGACAAACAATATGATTCACTTCACTTTTCATTAGGATATTACATATATATTATTTATTTATAACAATCCATCCAATGCTCAATTTATTCGAAATTATCAAGTCAAACCTTGGTAATGATGCCTATAAAGCATTTAGTGTATAAAATAATAACTTAGTTTTTTTAGGTTATTAGATTGTAGAGTAAATTCCACTTCTCAATAGATTTATTAATTTTCTGCAAAAATAAATAACAAAAGAATCAGTTTCCGTACTTGTGAAATAGTGGGAACGAATATTTAGTTTTATAAAAGGTCGAATATAGAATGCATTATTTGAATGTTTGATATGTATGAACAGATTTTATGGCATATATTTAACCACTACTGAGGTGTTCATCAATATTATACATAAACCAATGTAACTAATTAAGATGTATTTGTAAATAATTGTATCTTATTTTAAAGTCTTCAAAATATGCCAAAATAAAAGTGAGCGAATTGTTAAGTTTTAATTAGAATCAAAATTTGAACAAATGGTAAGAACTGAAATTAGAACTTTATTAAACTATATAATAACATTGACACAGTTTTACTCTCAATGAACAAAGAGAAAGATTTACTTGAAGCATATTCCCAAATCCTCAGAAGACCTCAAAATAACTATAAAACAAGTCGGCGATACACTCAATACAATCTGAACATACAGTTGACTTCAATCGAACAGGAATCTTTCAAAACAGTTTTAGTTCGTACAAAGAAAATTGACAGTTGAAGCCCTACATATGTGGGTGAACCTAAACAATACGAATTAATGATGGCATAAAATTAGCTGTATCATAGCAGCTAATAATTAATAAATTTGTATCTCATGTTACTACTTCTAACTTGTTGTATTCAGTTAATTTTTTGGAGATGCGATGAACAACTAGCTAGTTTAGAACAACGATTCATAACTATTTGCTTGTTTATTTTCATTCAATATTTGCTAAGTTTTATTCACTATAATATCTATCGGATTGCTCAGTTTTATCAACAACTGTCACCTGAAGTCGAGATAGAATACCTGTCTATGAATTTGTAGGGTATAGAATTTTTTAATGTTCAATATGTGTGTAGTATTAAGCATTCTTAGAGATCTTCCAAGTAAGTTAGTGGTCGAGTGCCACAAATAAGAGGAGAATTTCACTAAAAATCTCATTTCAAACTCAAACTCTCACTTCTCTTGCTTCATTCATCGTCAAGCTTGGATGCGCCACAGAGATGAGTTCATAGGAGGGCACACGCAAATAGCTTTAAACGATGAACAAAAAATCCCCAGTGAAAATTATAGTGTTACATACATCAATAATCTCACTAAAAGCACGAAAAATGTTCCAAAATCCCTGATATCGCACTTTTATCCAAGAATAAAAGACGGATAAATAACTTCACACACTGATGCCATATATAGTCAATTAATTTTTTTTTCTCATAATGTCTACATACAACTACACTTCTTATCTTATCAATATTTCTCTTCATACACTATATGACTTCTACCAGCACTATAACAAATTCCCCATTCAGAGTTGTTAACATGATTGGAGGATTTATTTAGTACACAGTTAATTCAAGAATCACTTATTAATATTCGATAATTTTGATGTTTGATTATTCCCCTTGAAAAAACTTGAACTAGAATGTCGAGCGAAACATTTGAATTTATTTTAACTTTAATCAATGAGAATTTTTACAAATATAATTTCCTTTTTAATGTCTCAAATTAACTAGGGACCCAATTACTCTGCAACTGTCCGTTCGAATTAAAACGAAAGTTCTTACAAACATTTCAGATAGTTCCAAATGGAATGAAAATCGTTTTTACTTCTCTATCTTTCTTATCTGAAAGCATTGGTGCCATAAATCCAACCTACAAAATGAACTTTTGTTCACAAACTGGAGATTATGTCTAACAAAGCCTTACACATACTTATAAATAGTTAACACTTATACAGATGGCGATTCAATTAGACACATTGGACAGACAATATGGTCGTAATTACATCAAAAGTAAGAATTCAGTTGAAAGGGAAATTAAATTACAATGATGAGAACAGAAGCAAAAAAATAGATAAATAACAAGACTTCGTTGCTTTAGTAATACTTTTACAGAAAAATAAAGAAAATAGCGAGAATTAGGAGAAATGATAAGCAAAAACAGCAAACTAGGCGAGAAAGCTGAATGGCATAGATAGGATAATGAATATCCAGACAATCACTTTTGTATATTTAACAGTTATCAATCGACAAACTATTCAGCATTAAAAATGACCACCTCATTAAGTATTAGTTAGAAAAACAATATTGATAAAGAAAGAAAATACTAGGTAAGTGTAAATATCTAATTAAATCCATAAATCTGCACTGTACAACGAGTAAGGAAATGATATCACGAAAAACCAAACAATAAAAAATCTCGTTTACTGATTTATTGATTGTAGCTGTTTATATTCCACCAACATTATAATGTATTATGAAATAGTCATGGAAATAAGCAAGAATAGCTAATGGTTGACCAATTATTAACGTAAGCCACACGGCTAAGTTACCACCTTGACCACCATTAGGGAATAATCGTGAAACTATGTAGGCATATGGTACTTGACTTAGCATACCAAAGAAGGCCCAGAATCGTAGCATTTTCAATGGGATCGAAACAAGTATTTCATGGAAAAATGCACTAATCATAAAAACAACTAAACCAGCTTGGAAGCGGCTGAACCCTGACCGTAAAAGGGGTATGTATATATGCCTAAAGTTTTAAAAGAGAAGAATTGTTACACCATAAAAGTTAACTATAAAATACTCTGAAGCGAACTTCAAACACTATGTACACAGGTTTATTTTAACTGAGATCTGGTTTTGGTAGGTAATTTTTAACTATGTACTTCAAATTTTAATGTCTTATGCTGAAAGAAACTAAACATTCAGTAAAGTAGAATTAAAATGGTCACCTAGACATTAAATAAATATCTACATCAAAATATCATTCTCGTTTAAAATAATATATCCTAAACTAAAATTGTACAGATAAGATGGAATAGCTTCTGATGAACGTAATTTGAACTAGTAGTCCCTTCACTGTACAATGTTCTGTGTAAGTTACTCAGAAATTAAATATGCTTTCGAGTCAACATACTGTTACACCAGGAATACATAATGCTGATAAGTTTAAGGATTACTCTCTCAAGTCTTATTTTCAGTTACATTTGAGGTAACATCACTAGAGATTATAACCAATGACTGACATCACCGTTACGATGGATACAATGACCAACCCATAGACTGTGCCCACCTGCAATCGTTGGACTCATTTTTGCCAATAAGTAATGGATGAGTGGAAAGTCGCTTAACGAAAAAAAACCATTACTAGTAAATAATTATGGAATTCAGGTACTGTTCGACATGTGGATAAAAAGTTTAGCAGATCACTTTGACTGAAGTATGTGGATGTCTTAAAAATTAGGGTTGCACGAATCACACCATTCATTCTTAAAGTTAACAAGGATGTACACGAACCTAGTAATGAATAATGGTTTCAAGTCTAATTTCACACTGGACAAACAAATTATTTATAGGCATGGAAAAAATTAATGTCACTTAAATGGCTTAACTTGGCATTGAGTTTTACAATTTACCAACAAAAATGCACCTCACTTTTTCAGTCTCAAAGATAAATTTTTTAAATAAGAAACTAGAATAAACTTAACAGATGAATTTTCACATCTCCATAAATAACAGGTCACTCTGTCTTCTCATGATTGATGTTATCATTATGAATAGAAGCGCTATTAATGATTATGTTGATCTTTTTCTTAATAATTGATTAATTAAATTTTGATCCGTTTATGTACTGATTACTGGTTGACCTTACTATTATTTGATTTCCATTTGAATATCACCTGAGTTGTACTGGCTCGGTAAAAATAAATGTTGTTTAGACTACTTACTCGGTGCTATTATGTTTCGCACACATTTTTAGTTGAAGCATTCAAAGCATTAGATTAATTGTCAAAGTACTAACATATCAAGCATTGAGTTGTAGTTTTAGGCCACGCTCAGCCTACTTTAATTTGAGTATATTAATGCTATCATTAGTTATCGCATAAACTTGTGAGTCACAACAAAAAACATACCTGTAACTACTTGGTGAGTTTGAGAAACGAAAATGTTTGGTGTTGAACGAGAGAAGAACAACAGAACCATAGTTTAGGATTCGTAAGTAGATTTTATTTTCCACAAGAATTCGCATTCTTGTAAATGTGTACATTTTGTCTATTCTCTGTTGCTTTGCAGTACTTTGAACTCTTTAGACAAATTTAACTAAATTTATTTTCTGTTACATGGAACAAAATGGAGTGCATCAAAAAATTGTCGACAGCGTGTGTGTGATCTGTTTAAATCTGATCTACCATTTGAGTAGTCGATAAAATTACCAAAATTTAAGAAAGGAAAATTACATAGCTGAATAAATAGTAATATTTACATATTTACATATGTATAAGCCATGAAATTGTTCTAATTTCTATATTATTCTACGTTTCCCAAAGCAATAAGGTCAGAACTCATTACAATAACGACTGCTTCAATAATTTGTAATTAATTATGAAAGTTACTGATATAACTTACCGTCTAGCAAAACGATGGACAGGAATATTCCATTTTGACCAAAACGCTGGCACAGATTCCGCATTCCTGTATAAACGCAAAATTAATATTTTATGAGATCGAACATAAGAAAAAAGGAACAAATACACACTATAAAGTTTGAATAGAAATATAACTTCTATCAAACATTATTAATGATATTCTGTGATGTATATGAATAATACTGATAAGTTCTAAGATTTTAGTTCATTCTCACTGGACAGCAATTAACATCAGTTGAACAAGAACAGAGAAATTCAAGGCACAAGCAAACAAGCAAGCGATGAGGAACACTAGAGCTAACAAATGGAAATACAAGGAAAGGCTAGCAACGACAGCGGACAAAGCTGCAAGAGAAGGAAGTGTTCGTGCGTGAGACTGATAGGTCCTGGGTTCGGATCTTGAGAGGCGGGATCGTGGATGCTCACTACTGAGGAATCCCACAATAAGACGAAACGGCCATCCAGTGCCTCCAGGTTCTCCATAGTGGTCTAGCTCCAACTGAATTTAATTTTATATCAACTTAGAGGACTGAACGCATTATCACCCAGTGGAAAATTTTTCCATTTCGTGTCTGAATTTATATTCATGACATCACCCTTTTTTTCTTATGACTATTTTTAACAAAAGTACTAATCGATCTTAACTACCACGCTAAAAATTTTTTGCTTTCTCACTGTTTTATGATTTCTTGTGCCAATTTGAACTCAACTTTACTGAGAACATGATGTAAAACGGTGTCTATAATAATATTATGAATTGTAGCTTTATACCTTTTGGAGCTGTTGGGAAGCCTCAAAATAAAACTAATTCATTTTATTCTAAAAATCTCGTTATTGTCGTTTTCTTAATTTATCAATATATTAGGTTGTATAAAATCTTAAAGTCTTCTGAATAAATTCGTATGAGTATTGTTGACTTTATTTTTTGCAAATGTCACGGTTACGCGTTAGAACTAGAGACATTCACTTTTCAAAATGAGTCATAAACGAACTGTGTGATGATTATTCACGTTAAATCTCAGGTGGCTTAATCAACAAACCAGTATTATCATGTTCTTAAACTAAATATTATATATATATAACTCCGCCTGTAGCTCTTCTAGAGTTACTGCCGGTCCCAAGCCCGGGTAAAGGAGGAGGGTTGGGCATGGGGTTAGCGTCCCCATCCTGTAGAAAACTAACTCGCTAAAAAACGCTAACCAGAAAAAATAACTCAAACCATTTAAACTCTGCCCTGGGAGTTAGAAGAAATATGATGCTTCATGGTGAAAACTGAGTTCCTTCGGAAGCCACGAGGCTGATGCCCATTCTAACAACCAGAGCAACAATTTTTATAAGTACATGGAACGTCCGGACAATGTGGGAGACCGGGAAGACCACTCAAATAGCGACGGAAATGAGGAGATACAACTTGGCAGTACTGGGAATCAGTGAAACCCATTGGACCCAAGCTGGACAACAAAGGCTAAATACGGGAGAGATGCTGCTATACTCCGGTCACGAAGAGGAAAATGCTCCACACACTCAGGGTGCTGCTTTAATGCTGTCCAAATTAACACAAAATGCACTTGTAGGATGGGAATCTCACGGATCCAGAATCATCAAAGCATCATTCAAAACAAAGAAGGAGGGGATCACAATGAACATTATCCAATGTTATGCACCCACCAATGATAGCAACGACGACGTTAAAGATCAATTCTATGAGAGGCTGCAATCAATCATAGAGAAGTGCCCAAGAGAGGACCTCACGATTCTGATGGGAGATCTAAACGCCAAAGTCGGAATAGACAACACCGGATATGAAGATATCATGGAACTACATGGACTGGGAGAGAGAAACGAAAATGGGGAAAGATTTGTAAATCTGTGTGCATTCAACGAATTTGTCATAGGAGGCACAATATTTCCACACAAACGTATGCACAAAGCTACATGGATCTCACCGGACCACTCCACAGAGAACCAGATAGATCACATTTGCATCAATAAAAAGTTCCGAAGGACAATGGAAGATGTGAGAACCAGGAGAGGAGCGGATATAGCTTCAGATCACCACCTGGTTGTGTCCAGGATGAAACTGAAGCTGAAGAAGAACTGGATAACTGGACAAACAGCACCACAAAGGTTCAATACAGCCTTCCTTCGAGATACTGACAAACTCAATGAATTCAAGGTAGCTCTCAACAACAGGTTCCAAGCCTTACAGGATCTACTGAAGGAAGAAGAAACTACTATGGAGGATAGCTGGAAAGGTATCAAAGAAACATTAACTTCAACGTGTCAAGAGGTTCTGGGCGCCAAGAAGCATCATCACAAGGAATGGATCTCTACAGAAACACTGGACAGAATCAAAGAAAGAAAGAACAAGAAGACAGCAATTAACAACAGTCGAACAAGAGCAGAGAAAGTCCAAGCACAAGCAGAGTACATAGAAGCAAACAAGAAAGTGAAGAAGAGCATTAGAGCTGACAAGCAAAAATACGTGGAAGAACTAGCAACGACGGCGGAAAAAGCTGCAAGAGAAAGAAATATGTAACAGCTTTACGATACAACGAAGAAACTGGCAGGGAAATATAGTAAACCAGAGAGACCAGTCAAAGACAAAGAAAGAAAGACCAACCACTGATATTCAAAAACAGCGGAACAGATGGGCAGAGCACTTCGAGGAACTCCTGAATAGGCCGGCTCCAATAAATCCACCGGACATCGAATCAGCACAGACAGATTTTCCTATAGATGTCAATCCACAAACGACGGACGAAATCAGAATGGCCATCAAACAAATCAAGAGCGGGAAAGCAGCAGGACCTGACAACATACCAGCTGAAGCGCTGAAGTCAGATATCGAAGTAACTACAAACATGCTTCATCTTCTATTCAAGAAGATTTGGGAGGAGGAACAAGTGCCGATGGACCCGAAAGAATGACACCTCATCAAGATTCCAAAGAAAGGAGATCTGAGCAAGTGTGAAAACTACAGAGGCATTACACTACTGTCAATACCAGGAAAAGTCTTTAATAGAGTGTTACTGAACAGGATGAAAGACACAGTAGACGCTCGACTTCGAGATCAACAAGCTGGATTCCGTAAGGACCGGTCGTGCACGGACCAGATTGCGACACGACGCATCATCGTCGAACAATCAATTGAGTGGAACTCGTCACTGTACATCAACTTCATTGATTATGAGAAGGCATTTGACAGTATAGATAAGAGAACGTTATGGAAACTTCTTCGACACTACGAAGTTCCTGAGAAGATTGCCAACATTATCCGGAACTCATACGACGGACTACAGTGCAAAGTAGTGCATGAAGGACAGCTGACAGATGCATTCCAAGTAAGGACCGGAGTCAGACAAGGTTGTCTACTCTCTCTCTTCCTCTTTATTCTGGTGGTCGACTGGATTATGAAGACCTCGACATCTGAGGGGAAACACGGAATACAATGGACAGCTCATAACCAATTAGACGATTTAGACTTCGCAGATGACCTAGCCCTCCTATCGCATACATACGAACAAATGCAGATAAAGACAGCCAGCATAGCAGCAGTCTCTGCATCAGTAGGCCTCAACATACACAAAGGGAAAACCAAGGTCCTCAAACACAACACGGAGAACAGCAATCCAATCACTCTTGATGGAGAAACTCTGGAAGATATGGAATCCTTCACATACCTGGGAAGTATCGTCGATAAACAAGGAGGTTCAGATGCAGATGTCAAGGCGAGGATTGGCAAAGCTAGAGCGGCATTCCTCCAACTGAAGAACATATGGAACTCAAAACAACTTTCAACCAATATCAAAGTCAGAATCTTCAATACGAACGTCAAGGCAGTTCTACTGTACGGAGCTGAGACGTGCAGAACTACAACAGCCACCATCAAGAAGGTACAGGTATTTATCAATAGCTGTCTACGCAAGATACTCAACATCCATTGGCCGGATACCATCAGCAACAGCCTTTTGTGGGAGAGAACAAACCAACTTCCAGCCTAAGAGAAAATTAGGAAAAGGCGATGGAAATGGGTAGGACGTACATTGAGGAAATCATCAAACTGCATTACGAGGCAAGCGCTAACTTAGAATCTTGAAGGGAAGCGGAAACGAGGAAGGCCGAAGAACACATTTCGTCGGGAAGTAGAATCAGATATGAAAATGATGAATAACAACTGGAAAGAGCTGGAAAAGATTGCCCAGGACAGGGTTGGATGGAGAATGCTGGTGAGCGGCCTATGGTTCTTCACGAGGAGTAACAGGCGTAAGTAAGTAAGTAATATATATATATAGACTTGTGCAATTACAGTGTCATGAACTTACCACCAATCGCTGTAAAAGAATCGATCACCAAAGTATAAAATCTCTCCAATTACATTTAATAGGGAATGAAATACAAGGTAGAAAAACAGTAACCATATGAGATGATTAGGTATAGCCAGTTTCAAACAACGTTCAACAATCAAGCTAAATCTTGATTCTGTGAATGGAACGTAACTGTTTGACAGTATAGGTAGAATCCATTGTTGAATCAAGCAGAGTATAAGTTGGGGAATGAATATCTATTGAAATAAATTTAAGCTGAAACATTTGTTTACAAGTATAGAAAAAAGTATGCTAATGAGTAAAAATCATAGTTTAGAAGCTTTACTATCTTGTGTTTCGGACTCATTATTATTAGATTGCTCAACTAAAACTAGACCAACTTGTCTTGCGCATTTCTTTCAGTTATTCTATGGAGTTGGCCATCCAAAATGCACAACATTGACACCAAATAATATTTAGATAATTAAAATAATCATTGAATAAGAAAAAGAGAACTCATCGAAGAAAATTTTCTTTTCGATGGAATCATTTACTTAAGCTGTACATTCTTATTTATGGTTATATGGAAAATATGTGTCTATAGGAGAATAGAAAAGATTGCATCACAAAAATGGATTCGAGACTCATATTATTAAATGAGGTTACGCAATAATCAAGGGGTAAGGAAGAAAATAATCTATGGGTTAGATAATAGTTCAATTGATAGATATGAAGGTCATAATCAATAAAACTTGTACAGGGTGATAATAATAACTGATTAGAGTTTAAAATTGCAAAATAATAATTTGAAGTTTTCAATAATAATCAAATAAAAGTGCAGAAAGAAAGGAAAAAAAAATACCCAGAAACATTAAGGCCAAGGAAAGATGAGAGGTTGGACGAATCGTCTATGCACGCCAAGTTCAGGCTTGAGTTCGTGGATTGCCAATGCTTCAGCAGTGCATTATATATTGATTCGACATCCCTTTGACTCTGTAGATTCTTTCAAACGAGGAATCCTGTATAGAACTATTAATTTTTTACATTCCTCTTTTAAAGACCAAGCCGGATAGTGTTCTGAGATGAGTTTGGAAAGTGATCGCCTTGTGTAGCCTATGTAACGTGCCCCACATGAGCAAGTAAATTTATAGATACACACTGATGTGGCCCAAAGAGGAAGTTTATCCTTAACACATCCAAAAATGGTAGGACGGCTTGAGAAAACGACTCGGAGCTTAGCTGCGTAGAAAGTTTTATTCAACGATTTTGAAATCCGTTTATTTAAGATTTTAACAGCCGTGTCTCCTTTAAATTCCATATTCATTAATAACGTTTTCTTCTGTATTGTCGATGCTTTCTCAAGATGCAGTCTAGGTGTTAAGTTGCTATTGACGAATCTAAGTGAATAACCATTTCTGATGAGAGTCTGTTGAAGTTGAAATAGTTCCTCATCTATTGTGTCAGTGGAACAGATTCGTTTGATTCTAGAGGATAAAGAGTGAATTAAGTTCCTCTTTCTACTCAATGGAACCCAACTATGGAAATTCGTGCACTGTCCATTCCAGGTAGGTTTTTTATATATAGATCTCTGTAATAAACCGTATAACTATATATACGAATATACAGCTTAATTAAATGATTCCATCGAAAGGAAAACTTTCTTAGCTGAATTATCTTTTTCTTATTCAAATAATATCTCTTGATGTCGATTGTGAAAGAAAATCTTAAAACTGCCTTGACTTCAGTATGGTCCCATTTAATGGACGGTTGGGAAACAATAGAAATGCGGGGTGTTTTCAGAAATTCTAGAAATACAGGCTCGTCTACCGTAGTTGATAGAGATTTGCCTTCTGATAGCTGTTAAACGCACGGTTCTCAAAATAATGCAGTTGAAACTTTATGTAAAGACGAAGTTTGCAAGTCCACTTACCTGTCTGCATTCTATTAATTTTAGGTTCAAAGAATTCAATAGTGCAATGAACCAGTGAACATTTTAACTCAGGTTTTTCATCTAAGCTGAATATAACATATTTGTTAGTTACTATTTTCTCAAATATTCATTTTTTTCTACTTAAAACAAATAATAACATTTTTTCTGGTTCTGCTTGTATTTCCATCTTGTTTTCAACTCCAGTTAATGACATTGGACGCTTGCTAATCTTTGGTTGGTTAATTATTCATAATTATGTACTGAATCACTCAGGAACTCCCAACAGTAGCTGATCAAAATAACTATATTTATGATTGCTATTTTTGGCATAACTCACACTCGTGATATGGATTTATACACACTGACCAATCAATGTTAATATCTCATGGGAGGTCAGTTGCTTCGTGAATGTCCAAATGGCAGCGTCTCAGACTATGAATCTGGGTGTCACGGGATGGCGTCTCACAGGAAACATAAGTTTCCTCAAGAGTGTAGGTAAGCATCGCTGAGGAATGCCAACTAGCACGAAAACTACATCCAAAGTTCCCTACTGACAACCACCTAATATTAGGCTAATGAGGATATGTTTTTGCTTTATAAATGTCTGATTTAGCACAGTGTACACTTTTTTCTGAAACAAATAAACGAACATTACATACTAATCAATTCAGTAGCCTAAAATTTACCTTTGTGGAGAAAAATCTGTTACTGTAAAGTTTCCTGTTATCAGTAAAGTCCTGGAATATGGTGATCTATTGCTAAATTACATATGATAAGAAATAGAACAACGCAAATGTGAACATTTTCTCTGATTACGAGTTCCAATAACGACGAAACAAGATTTATGTCAACATAATCTTTATCTGAAAGAATTCAAAATGAAAGTGTTTTGATATTTCTGTTGACTTCAGAAGTGAAAGTCAAGCCAACAAAATAGCATATTTGTGAAGATATTCTTTCATCATATTAACTTACCAATTCGAAGACGCGTTTGAATAAAAACTGTTTCCTTATTGTCATTGTGCGCGGGAAGTTTAATTCGTAGCACAATGTTGGTGAAAGGATGAAATAGTATATGTCCCATAGTGTTAAGTTATTTGGATAAGTAACGTATAAATTACGACTAAATTTCATGCAAGTTTCATCGTGTACCAAAACATTTACTTCTAATTCAACTGGGTCTGAGCCAATACTATTGTAATCCTTGCTTTCACATACACTAAGCCGTGAATGTTGGGCTGGGAGAAAAGAAAGCAAACGTGTTACAGATTTTGGATATAAGTGCTTGTTATAACTTGAAAATATAGTATGGTATTAAAGTAGTGGGATTTATAACATCTAAACTTGCTGTTAAACGGAAATAAAAGCTTGTTTTTCATTTGCGAATTATAGCACGGTAATTTGTCCATGCCCGTAATTTTATTCAAATAATTTCAAGTTAATTATCGACGTGACTTTGATAAAATTCAAAATTGTTTCATGCAAAAAATTGCTCTCAACTGTCAAACGATGACTGGTATCAAAATATTTAGTCAACTTAAGAAGCAAGTTAAACATCAGTTTTCATACAACTGAAGTGAAATGCTGTAGGCTTACGAAAAAATAATTCCAAACCATAACGAGTGAACTATTTGATAAGTTTATATGCATCAAATAAATAAAATCATAAGTATCCAAGATAAAATATTTCACAGAATACTGCCGTCTATACTGGTCTTCGTGTTTAACAAACGAGATCAATATTATTTGAAAATACTACCTGGGGATTTTGACTATTCAAAATCTATAGCATCAAAATGTAATTGAACAAATGTAGATGAGATAATCAAACCATTTACACCATCTGCATTTGCTTATTACTGTATTTCTTCCCAACCAATTATGTGGCTATGTAGTGTATTGAGTCAGGTCACGGCACTCTCGCACTAGAAACGTGGTGATATTCGATGAAAATCTCAATAATTCGTCAGCTTGATTTATTTGTAAGAAATATTAACATGGACTTTGAGGTTCATAAAATAAAATTCAATTATGATGAAATGCGATGGTTCTTATTGATTTAGAATGTACAGATCTGTGGTTTTTTAAAACTTCAGTACTTTAATATTGAATTTGAATCAATGATATTGCACTAGACTGAATTAAAGTTTTTAAATAACTAAGTCAATAAAAAAACTGAGAATTATGGACTCAGGCTATTTGCTGACCGTCACATATCACAATCTAAATTCTTTGAGTCTTGTAGTTTCAGGCATTCAACTTTATTGTCTGAGTACAACGTGCCATACAAATGTTGAATTTTATTAACTTTACAATTGCACTTTCAATATTATTCTCTACAAAACATACGCGCTAAATAATCGTGTACAAAATATCAACAGAAATTCTAAGGAGCACTTTGAGATTTCCTTCATGTATTTCTTTTTTGCTCTGACGTGTATACATACATAATAATTTACAAACTGAATTATCTATTTTTGTGCAACGAATTTCTTTACCCAATAAGGGACCTACTCAATGTGGATAATTACATTTATGTAAATTCCTGGTAATTTGCTTCGATTTCATTTTTTTATATGCAAGCAAGCCTGAATACAAAAAGCAAAGTTACATCTATACTGATCAATAATTTCATCCTACAGGACAATAAAGGACAAAACCAGTTTGTTAGCCCATATTCATATGGTGACCTTAAACTAATAATAGGGACTATTGATTTACTTCGTTTGAAATTGTTTGTTAGTTTATTGTGCTTTGAGTTAAACCAGTGATGGTAATAATGTTGATTTATGTCAGACTGGATAGTTTGACCCCAAGATTCTGTAAGTGATTATAGATATTTCTGAAGTTTACTCTTTGGTATCTTGTGAACTTATCTGGGTGGTGAAAAACAGTTGAAGATGCTAATCATTATTTGTCACAATCAGAGCTTGATGTTCAAAAAAATAATCGTATACATCATAAACAATCAAAAATATAATTCATCAGAATTTCTCACTTTTTCATTCCGAGTCAACAGCTTTAAGCAGCACCAATGAGGAAACAGAACTAGAGGTGCGGTCGTACATAAATTGTTCAAGGTTATCATGTGGGTGTAGATGAACTACAGATTTGGAAGGTCAGAAATGCAAGAACGGATAAGATGATACATCTCATATTGATTATTTGTTTACCCTTAATTTGTTTTTGATGTTCCTTTAAATTAGTCTCCAATTTTTATTTTCTTACTTACGTATAATCTGACCTTGTCAACAAAGAGTAGCATTATTGAACCAATGTGATTTTGAGTTTTGTGTGATTTATAGCAGACAGAAATTTACTTCTCTCTATTTCCTAAAGTCAGATTATTATTATTATTATTATTACTATTATTATTATGAATTCTAGAAAAACTCAGTCCCACTAAAAGATGGGTGAAGTATTATATTTAGAAAAGGTGTAACTACAACAAATGCAGGAGAAGACGACCAGTGCAGCAGCAGCCTCAGTAGTAGTAAGTCTCAACATACACAAAGGGAAAAGCAAGATTCTCCGGTACAACACAGCATGCACCAATCCAATCACAATTGACGGAGAAGATTTGGAAGATGTACAAACCTTTACATATTTAGGCAGCATCATTGATGAACACGGTGGGTCTGATGTAGACGTGAAAGCGCGGATCGGAAAAGCAAGAACAGCATATCTACAACTGAAGGACATCTGGAACTCAAAACAATTGGCAACCAACACCATGGTCAGGATTTTCAATACAAATGTCAGGACAGTTCTACTGTATGGGGCGGAAACCTGGAGAACTACGAAACCCATCATCCAGAAGATACAGGTGTTTATTAACAGTTGTCTGCGCAAAATACTTCGGATCCGTTGGCCAGACACTATCAGCAACAACCTACTGTGAGAGAGAACAAACCAGATCCCAGTGGAGGAAGAAATCAGGAAGTGGACAGGATACATGTTGAGGAAAGCACCCAACTGCGTCACAAGGCAAGCCCTCCCATGGAATCCTCAAGGTCAAAGGAAAAGAGGAAGACCAAAGAACACATTACGTCGAGAAATGGAGACAGACATGAGAAAAATGAACAGAAATTGGAGAGAACTGGGAAGTAAGGCCCAGGATAGAATGGGTTGGAGAATGCTGGTCAGCGGCCTATACTCAATTTAGAGTAACAGGCGTAAGTAAGTAAGTCTTGCTAACGACTTTTATGCGTCCAGTGGGGTGCAAGCAAATGCGTGGTCGTATTAGAGCATGATCACAGTCTAAAAATGTGTTCCGGAACGAGCAGCAGTCTCCTACTGAGCCTCTCCAACGATGACTGATGGCAATATGGTTTATTTGAGTCCTTATGCTTAAAGTTAGTGCTTGTTAGAAATAAACGATTGTCTGAGCACAGATGCAGGAGACGAGCAACATTATCTGTTGGCTTAGCCAAAATACCAAAATGTCAACCTAAATGTTTTTCTGTTTCGTTTAAGCTACCTACTTAGGCATTCAAGTCACGTTCTACGAGTATTATGTCTGAATGTTTAGCTTTATGAAGTTCAGAAGCCTTTCTGTAAAAGTCATTTTTCAATTCATCCGGGCTGCAGTCAGAAATGACGAAAATGCAACGACGTGTATCCCTATTTTTTCGAGTTCTTACGGAGCCGTACAGCTGAACAACACATAAGCGACTGTGAACAGGGATCTATCCTAAAAGTACTTGTTCTGCCCTCGTACTTAGTGCTATACTTAGGATAGAGTGGGTTGAGGAATGCTGGTCGGCGGCCTGTGCTCCACTAGGAGTAACAGGCGTAAGTAAGTATTTGGTAAATTCCTGACTGTAGCAACTGTTATTTTATCAGTGTAGATAAGTGTAGTGGATCCTAACGAAGTATTGATGTTATATATAAACGAGCTAGTAGTCATTGTTAACGTTAGTCAGCAGATATAAAAAAAATCTCAAGGTTTGCTTTACGTGTTGGCTGAATACTGTTATCAATGCTTGATCATAACCTACTAGAAATTCAGTGAATCAGGTTTTTAAGTAGTTTTAGTTAACAACAAAATTTTGCTACCTGAGAAAGTCACAGGTCATTATACTTAATTACGAAACAGGGGACCAACACATTTATAGTCTGGTTGGAGATACTTTGTCTTAAAAATATTTTGACTACATATATTTGCATTTTTGCTGGTCACTTTGGATTTGTCAACTCTTCAATGCAAATAAATTTCTGATTCATTTATAAATCAACCAAACAACGTGTAAAAAAATTGATTTTGTCTTTTGCAGTCATAGTTACAACTTCATATTTTTGTTATTTAAGAAAATTAAATGACCAAACACCCCTTGACGGGGAGCAGTTTTATGTGATCAGTACTGTAAGAAATGTTAAGTTCTATCTTTTTAGTCGTGATTCTAACTTAAAATAGCAATATTTTGTGAGTCAATCTGAAATGAGGTAACTGATTAAGTGGTTTTCTTTGGTCTTTAATAATACAGCTTATTAAAAAACTAAAACTCAATTATTGCATAGTGTTGAGCTGAAAGGCTCTTATAGGATACAATAGGTTACAGCGTGACTTTCTCATCTGTGTGTATGAATGAACAGATGGTGTACTAACTTCACCATTGGTTCCATTAATATGACGACCACTGTTTATTCTCATCTTAGGAAGAGGGGTCCATGTATTTGACTCGCAGAAGCATCAGTCCAACATAAACAAATTATTTCTGTATTTATTACTGGTTCAACTTCAATTTAGTGGTTAAAATGTCAGTTGTGAACCGTAATCTGTTAAAAAAGACATATATTATGAGCCTGTTCAAAATATATTTTCCAGTCAGGAGTTAAACATTCTTCTTTTGCAATGTTTGAGTAAGCACAAATAAAAGATGAACAGTATGAATGTATAAGATTCTTAAATCTTTTTATTATCTGATGTATATATTACCGAATATAGTCGAAACAAATCATATGTGTTGTCATCAAAGTAGAAAAGTTAAAAGCATGTTCATTTCTTGTCTTGTTACTTAAGAAACATTACATAAGAAAGATTTTTCTAACAAGAACTCAGACTAATCTCATTGAAAACAAAAATACGCACTAATTTTACATGTAACGTAAGTTAATATTTTCTGTAAGGAGATGGTTTAAACAGTGAAAGTAACTAAATGGACATTTTGGTAACTTGAAATGACTAAAGATTTTGTGATAACAAAACACGAAAATATACTTAATTGATGATAAGTAATAAAACAGTTTGTCGTTTTATTTATAAAAAAGTCCCACTGAAATTCTACAATCAGCTAAACTCAGTTATTTTCAATCTGTTGAAATGCTAATAATATGTCTTTTTATTCAAAGGAGTCACATCAAACAGACTGAAAGATAATTATTTTTCATGTAACTGCTAGACAAGATTACTTTAAGCGAAAACCTATTTGAATCATTTTATTGTTTGGTTTCTGCTACCTATAAGGCGTTCCTTATGGATGCTTGAGGTATGCACCATCACTGAAATTAAATATACTACATAATGAAAGGGTAAATTCCTTGTCAAACGCGTTAGCAAATAACTTCTCAGTCATCCATGTAAGTCATCGTGTCCTAACTAAATAAGGTGGAATGAAATGAGTAATCGAACTAGGAACATAAACTGTGCAATAGCTTTTGAATCGCTGAACAGAAAATAGAGTGCAACCTCGTAGAAATCAACAAAACAGTTTGCTAAGTTTAGCTGTGACGCCTCTAAGCCACTCAGATATATACAATTAACATGTATTTGACCAGAATGGAAAGCTGGTGATCAACTAGGGCAACTGAGTAACGCTTTTACTTCTAGTGTCACATAGGAATATTATTTATCTAATAATAAATATTGTGTTGATAGAAAATGGGAAGTTTTAGGATTTTTATCTGAATAGCATGTGAGTTTTCATAGCAACAACACCATTTGTTAATCACATGCTACTGATTACAGGTTTTAACCAATAGCATACACTATGGAAAAGGTAGAATAAAATTATAATTCACATGTCAAAGTCACAAAAATAAAATGAAGTAATTATAACAACAGTAAATTCTGAATAAATCTATGAAATTTCTTACATTTTCTAGATTGACTTTTATGTTTCATATGTAATTGGCTAAGATGCTTTGCCGATTTCGCATTATTTACTGAAGTCATCGAATTAGGAGAAAAATGTGAAATTTTATTTTTTCTATTTCCAGTAGCTTCATGTGTGACTTCAGAGGTGTTTTCATTTTCTAATTTCAAGTCATTGGTTTTGCTCTCCACCTTAGTATTCACTCCATTTTCTTGAAAGTTAATATCTGGATGCTCTAACACTGGAGAACATTTTCGCTTGAATACATGATTTTCTTCCGAAGGATCATTGACTGAATTGTATTTATTAATCGTTTCAGAATAATCATCGAATTGATGAGAATTAACATTATTGTTAATAGGTTTTGGATTCAAATTCTCAGGTTTGCTGATATGGGCATTATGAGTGGGAGATGATGTCGGTGTCGATTTTCCCAATATACCCAAAACCACATCCACATTGCAATCCCCGTCTTCATTTGATTCACGACACCATCGATTAACAGCAGCATACGAAAATAGTTTCAGAAAAACAATAGTGTACACTCCAAGCACAGGAGCGCTGAACACTAAAATAGTATTAATACGAAAAATTAACGTAAATAAGTGAGACGACCTGTGATAGGCTATTTGAACTTTATTAACAAGCATTATTATAACACATAGAAACAAATTATACGAAGTTCTTTTGTAGTTCAAGAAGTAAAAATATCAGTCGTTATTCAATAGTTAGTGGCAGTATGTGATCACCACCCAGTGATCAACTAATTGTAAATACAACTCAGTCCCACAGGGGGTCAGCCGCGGCCTAGATAGCCCAGTGGTAACGTCTCTGACTGTGAAGCTGGGTGACATGGGATCGAGCTCGTCAGGGATCATTAGTTCTCGCAAGATTACAGGTACGCCTTGCTGACAAGTGTTCAGTAGCACGAAACCTAGCTCCAGAGTTTCTTATTGACTACCTCTAACCACCATTTTGTCATTTGATATTATTCGACAATATAGACATTGTACAATTTAAACTTCAGCATCACAGAGTTATGAAGATACGTTCATTTGATCAGTTAAAATATACGTGTAGTGTACAAGAACTCAGGTGTGGACAACCAATTTATTGTTTAATACAAAATTATAGAGTTCTTTCATAGAATATGAAAACCATACATTAAATACTTCATTTGCAAATCCTCCATCAATCGTCTCAAACTTCATAGTCCTCTCTGTTTACATTCCCGTTCTCTTCGATTCGATCTTCTCGACATTCTGCTGCCAAGCATTCCACTTCTGATTGGTGTTACACACTACTTATGTCCGTCGACATAAGTTGCATACGTACGTTAATAAGGTTTATTCTCATATCACTTAAAGGGTACAATTCTCGGTTAAAAATTTCATACCGTGCTTCTATATGTCCATACTCATTTTTCCATATGATATTATATGAGATGACATTTCAGAAAGACGTATAATTGGGCAATTGTTCAAGTTATCTTACTTCCCCATAGAAAATAACAAAAAAATTAATAAGAAACGACTTTTAGGTGTGTTATTTAATCCCTTCAAAAACAACGGCTACTAATCTAACGTGACTCAAACTACTGAGAGGTCAGTTAGCTTATTAATTGAGATTTATTTATTTATCTGGTCACTTTTATTTTACCAACACAGTCTTACACCAAACCTTATCGATTAAAGCTAGCTTAGAAGACTAGACACAAGCCAGCCATTGTGTACTTATTTGCTTGACAGATATACCAAGTAGTGAGATATCATCTCTTGAGAACGTTTCAAAAACAATTTATTCCACATGAGACTATTTATTGTTAATTTTTCTCAGACATTCATAACACGATAATGAATCTTTTGCTAACCGTTTTGTTTAATGTATATATCGAATACGACTAAATGTCTTTAGTGAACACGACATTCATACTTGTAAAGAACGTGAATACACAAAGACAAATGAAGAACGCATTAAGATCTATAAATTCATAAATCATTTACATGTAACGTACAAGGACTAAAATCCATTGATAATATCATGATGGTCGGGAAGGTGAGCAGGCAAAATAAATTCCAACCAATAAGCACCATTGCAAATTTACCACCAACTAAACCAAGAAGAATTGCACGTTCAACTAACCAAGCGAATATAATAAAAACATTAGTACCTAGGTGGAAATTCGTAAAAAACATTATCACATCGTTTAAAAAGTATGCAAACTTGGAATTAAAAATAACATTTAGTGATTGACTGACTAGTAAGGGTGCTTAAAGATTGAGTCAACGTGCAACTTTGGTATGAGATTAGCCTGAGTACCACTTGAGAACATTCCTTTAACTCAGTAACGAACCAATAATTATGGCAATTTAGATCACGCCTGACTTACGATCGTCATAAGTAATCAAGATTGTTTTGTTTTCGTGCCCCCTTACAAGTAGTGATGACATCCATGTTGTACAGAGATGAGTAGTAATATCAACTAGACGGATTAGTGAGGTCAAATCATTTATTAAACAAGTTGAAGAAAGTTCATGTTGTCAGCTAGTTTGTAACAGATGAAGTTGAGAAATCCAATTACTGTTTAGCTCTAGATTAACATTATTTTTACACGAAAGGCAAATTTGTTTAACCGATTGAGAATGATACACAATTCGTGTCAAAGTTCGTTGATTGAAATGGGGTATTTTTCTAGAGAATACTGATAGTGATGTTTGATTAGCGGATCTGAAGTGTTCGAGCAAAATTTGTCAGCCCTTGCAACCAATGATTATCAAACAAAACTGGCTCTGTTTTGCGTTAGTGGAAAAACCAAACTTACATAATAAGTGTGTTACAACTAGAAACATCTACGAAAAATGTATTTCACTAACCAAACCACGTTTATTAAAAATAAGGGTTATTGTATGAGTAGTGATTTTAGTCCTAAGTATAAATAAATGTGAATTTATAACCACATCAATAAATCTTATAATAGTTTCCAATGTAGACTTTTATGAATAGATGACTAATAGTTTCTCTGAAGGTCACTCATGAAGCTGGATCGACAGGAGATCATGTAAGTTTTTTACGATTTTAGGGAAAACAGGTAAATGCGTTGTGTACGACGAATAATGATCAGAAAACGATAACGAACTTACAACCAAATAACCCAATCACCGCACATTTCTGTTGAGCTTGTAAAAGAAAACGAATCCATGAAAATGGATCCATGATGATTCCATATCTATAAAATCCAACCATATGCGTACATATATGTGGTTAAGAAATATTACTATGTAATTAATTAAATTAATTTTAACATTGATAAACAATAGATGCATACCTACTTTAATAGATAAAGACATCAACCGTTGTATTTTTTAACAATGGCTTGACGTCAGTATAGTTTTTTTAAAAGAATAAATGATATATTATGTAAAGAGCTCTACAGTAGAATAAAACAGCTAATTAGTTCTTTGTGGATAAGACTTCACTCTGCATGAAAGTAGATATGAGTCACACTCTTGAAATAACACTGCATTTACAAAGATGTGTATAAGTTTCAGTTAAAACACGACTAATGAACACAGGAAGCTATTTATGTGTAAGTTGGAAACTACTAATAATCCTATGTGTTCGTTAAACACTAAATAAAACCATATGAACAATTACGATTGTAATAATCGTTATGGAACCCTAAATTCACCTATTCACTCATCACTGTAATGGACTGAATACATCAGATTATAAGATAATAGATTTTATAACGAAAACGTAACCAGTTAATGAGTGAATATTATCAATCTGTAACTTAGTCATGTACTATATCTAAATATGTTTAGTTGTTTTGTAAAAATATATGTAAGTCGATAGTTTCAAGTTTATAGCTACACTTCTTCTGTGAGTTAAACTAAACCTTATTCAGAACTGAGTTGTCTGAAAGTATAGCTTCACAATTATCCTACTTTAATAAATCCTGTAAAAATTTAATCATTTTTAGAAAACTGATATTTTTTAAAAGGGTTTGTCAAACTTTATACTTTTGAGAATTCATTTGATCGTCCCCTTAGTAGATGTTTTTGTCGGCAACGTATGATACTTCAGATATTCACTTATATTAGTTTCAGATGTAAAACATTTCTCCGACTAACTCTTGCAGTATTTTCTAACCAAATAGGTTTCAATTCGTAAAATTATTTCACATTTTTAGGTTCTAAGCAGCTAATAAGAATCTTGTAAGGAGAACGATCAAAATTACTCGACTCTTACGGTTGATTTTTTTTCTTCATTGAGACTGGGCATAAAAGTAGCTAGAAATAATTAACTTTTAAATCTGCTGAAGTTACATGATTTTTATCTTTTAACTGCCCTAGTATATCATGTCACACCAAACATTATTTTTGATCTGTAGTCTACTGAGCTACGAAAAAGCCCCCACTCTTACAAGTGATCAAAGAAATCCAGTTTTATAAACAAATTACAAATGATCTTATAGATTTTAGTTAAAACAACTACTTCAAGGGATGATATAATATCAAATTGTTTAGTTGTAATTTATACCTTATTAGCTCTTGGCGACAACAGCACAGTTTCAGGAGTTTTTCATGGTTGGGTATTGTGAAAGAACAAACTTTCTGTCTAATTACAATCGCTTTTCGAAAACGTTTTGACGAACCTTAGTCGATGATCAGAGTCCTTTGAGTCTCATACTGAGAACTTTACAGAAACATCTTGAACTCTTTAAAAGACTGGCACATGAAAATTTTTATATTAAAAGCAATAACACGTTATTTCTTTTTGCTAGCCATCGACAGCATAACTTTTGTGTACAGACAGATTGGTAAAAACTGGAGATGTATTTGGACAGTCAGAACTGATCATTTATTCAATTAAAAATACTTAGAACAGACAAAGGAGCACAAAATTGATAAGACATAAAATCAGTATCAATATTAAGTGTTAAATAACATCTTTTTTCGTAATAGGGATCTGATGTGGTATGGCTGATAACTTTACTAATAGTTCGGTGACAAAGTAAGACAGCTAGAATTCTGAATAGTCTATTAATACAGTTCAATGCATAAATTTGTAATAAGACATAGGCAGAAACTAGATAATTATCTTACATACTAAATATTTAGAAAACAGAACCTTAAGTATAGTATTATAGGTTCCAGTAGGCTATTCTAAACTAATCAAGTGTGTTTGAGGTGTGAGTGAACTTTAAATCGAGAAAACAAGTGTCTAAACTTCAGAAAGAGTCAACAGAAAATTGACAATAATGAAAAATAAAAGATATAACACTCGGTATTCCTTATTGATCTATTATTCTACGGAACCAATGAAAAAGGAAATCGGTTCCATAAAGAAATATTTATGATTAACACCACTGAATCAGCCACCAAATGTTGTAGCGTAGAGCCACTCAACTGGCATCATTTGATTTTTATTAGCGTTGCAGAAACTCTCTGACGATTTAAACACAATTAATGGTTCATATTTGAATAAGGTTTTTACGATTATACATGATAAGCGATCTCTAGTGTTACCTTATGAGTAATGTTATTCTACCTTGTTCTAAATTGGCTGAAAACAATAAAACATAAACATAACATCCCTAGTACAAAACGTCTGATATTACAATAACTGTCAATACGTTATCCGTATCCCTGATCTAATATGAGATTAGAGTATTTCGAACAGTTACAGGATTTTCAACCTCATATGTACTTTAAGATGCTTCTAAAGTAAAAAAGCTCAATAAACAGTTTAACAGAACAAAAAGAATTTGTAGCCTTCCACCACAGTGCAAATGAATTGGTATTTTCTTCCCTGTCTATGGAGCATCATTTATTCTCTTAGATCATTTTTGTGCCCTAATATATGTGAAACATTGCGAAGCTGTTTTGTTATGGTTTGAAACTAACCTACAATTTAAACAAATTCTCCCGCACTTATAATAATCGAAATCGTAAGCTATTAAGTGGTGCATACACATACACTGCTCTTGTGAGTTTTGTTTATGACATCATGTAAAAACTTTAGGGTCATCATGCTTGTAGAGGTTAAAGGTTATGGTCTGGCATGTAAGTTGCCATTTTTAACTTTTCCATTTGTCACAATAACTGGCGCATATAAGTTATTTGCAAGAAATAACGAACACAATTAATTGTTTACATCCCTATATTTGGCTTTATTAGCTCAACAGTTAATTTGATAAACAGACTGAATAGAACAGTTGTCCACCGTTCCTTAAATTTTAAAATTTCACATCTGTAAGTTCGTGATTAATATTGTATTTCAATTTCCATAGAAAGTGACTTTTGTCACAGATTTTAGATTTATTGAATCACCATTTATGAATATGGCATAAATTGATCAAAATAATGATAAAGCTGACCAAGAAAATGCCACAACAAGAAACTGCACATTCACGTAAAGAATAGTACACTAATCTTCGCAACGATGTAAGTGAGTAAAGTTGTATGAGATATAAAGAATTTCTCTAGCAAGAAAAAACAGATAACAATATATTTTAATACCGATTTGTATAATGTAATTGCATTTCCCAGTTCACTGTCAAGATGCTGATAGGCTAAATGTCTATTTCTTATTTTCTCATAAAGATGTAGAATGATGTAATTGCCGGAAGCCGTTGCTTAACTGAGTGAATGAAACAAAGTTATGTGATTTTGTTACTTCATCAAATTAGTCATGTGCCCAAGATACAAGTGTTTCTTTCAAAACATATATTTCGCTCCACCTTTTTACGAATACAGCGTAAAAGTAACCATTTTTATTCCAAGAGTTTGTTTTAGAAATATTGGGCTAACAAAAATGCTTTGAACATAGTTCCTTTTTTATAATGAACCTATTTCACAGAGCTGACTTACAGTCAGATCAGTAACCAACGGAGATAGGTCCAACTTCTGCTTTTAGATGAGATATGATACAATAATGAAGTAGTTGAAAAGTGAGCTCTTTGCAGAATATCTTGTCATTTTTTGGAACGGAAATTTGCCTAAAAATAGATTCTAGCTGAATAATAAGTAATTTGTTACATACAATATTAGGATAAGTAATTATATGAGTTGATTCGGTCAGTTTGATGAAATATAACTCTTGACACACTCACTTGTAAAAGAATTGTCAGTTCTAGGTGTAATAGGTAACAACAAACTGACCTGTCATAGAGCAAACTCCTTCAAAAATCCCTATTATCTAAGTAGACGATCTTATCCTCTCCTGAAAAAAGTCATTCTGGGTAAGGTTTTAAGTTTGAAACGTGAAGATATTTCCTGAACAATAAGAAGCAAAATCGTTTTATATTCAGTCAGATTTGATAGATGTTTAATATGCAAATGCAAAAAATTGGTCATATATATATATATATATATATATATATATATATATATATATATATATATACTTGAATAAAGTGAGGAGAATATTTGCAGAATAAAATGAATCCATTATATTTTAAGGCTTTTTATTAGCTCCAAATGTCCATAATCATTCAAGTTTCTGTAGAGAATTTGTTGCAATTAGTTAGTAGTATGAACCAAACAAACTACATATTTGACAACTATGATTAAAAATATTCATATTCTCGTTAAACTAATGTAAATCAATGATAGCAAACGTTTAATTTCAAGGACAGAACAATAAATCACAGTTAAGTATGAGAACCCTTTATTTAAGAAATGCTGACACATTTGTACCCATGCTAACGCATGAGGAAAATATCATGCATGCTTTTACTAGTAAAATTACTTTAAAATGTCCAGAAAGTTAAATTCTGTAATAAAAACAAATCATTTGATATACATAGCCTTGATTTAGCCATAATCAATATAGTTGTGGGAATACATCAGTTAGTTTATGATAGATAATCATTTTTTAATATGAACTGGTTGTCTTTCAAAATCTTCTAAAGTCTTTATTTCTGGCTCGTTATTTGGTAGCATCATTAACGCCATTGTATCTTATGGTACTATATTATTATCCAGTTTAGGTTTCATGAAAGTTCTACGAACTAAAAGCATTGTTTAAATACTACCCATTTTGGTTTAATTTTCTTAGAATACATATATGCGACTTTAACCTCTCTGACTTTCAATAAGCTTATTAGAATTCATGTTGGTGATGTATAATGATATAACATAGAAGTGTATTTTGATATGGACTAATGTAAAAGTCATTTTGTTTATTGTACGTCGCAAAACTTGATTATTGTTTTCGTTGTTTACGTCATAAATAGTGAGTTGGACAATTAGGTCAAAATCTATCATTAGGATAAGCTCTGTAAATTACAAAATTAGTGCACTTGAACTAGTTGATAATATCAGCTTGGTGAGTGCAAAGTTTTGATATTCATTGTTTACAAAAATTTATATGTCAAGTCATGTAGCAGTAAGACTAATACATGTTACTTCATATAGAATCATAGGTTGCAATACTCATCTATGTTTTTTTAGGACTCATTATTTTAAGCTAGTGAAATAACGCCTTGATTCACTCCCATTGTTCAAAGTATCAGTGATTAAATTATACAAGTATAAAATAGATTAACCTGGCATATGTATTAAGTAGTATCTGTACTAAGTAGAAAACATGTAACTGGATGGTAGATATCCGATTTCTTTTTAACAATAATCAAGCAGTTTGTTGCCCAATCTTTAGGAAAAGTAAGATAAAATAAAATGCATCCTTATCTACATAATGTACATTTTTAATTGCATTAATATGCGTTTGTAACATAGATCGATATATGAGTTAATATACTCATTAAATAACATTTGATATGTTACTACTTTAAACTTTACCACTATTCCAATCTATCTTCACCTGAATAAATGGAGTTTATTAGTCATATATATTTTAGTTTCAACAAACTGTAACGATTTATAAATTGTGCAGGGAACATTGTTGTATTTATTTATAAACGACTACATAGTTATATAAACAAAACATTGTTTACCAATCCTATATATGATGAAACGATATTAATTGAATAAATACCATAGATTATTAAGAATAAAGATATCACTTCAGAAACACTTAGTTGTAGTAAATCTCAACAGGCAGAGTACTGAACAGTAAAACTTTTGATCTAATAATAAAAACCCTTTCCCTTATGGTTAACTAAAGTTAACAGTCTGAACCACCCAATATATGAATTTAACATAAAAATTGGAATAGTCAGCTGTTGTACTTCAACAAATTCATCTATATTTTTATCATATGATTGAATTTGTCAAACAAAATAACTGAACAGATTTTTCTATTAAAATTTTATCATTAGTAAGTTGAATAACTGAATTCGATTTCTTCTAAAATAATATATTCATCTAATATGATCATGATACATACTATTCGATCAAGGATTAGTTAATGTATAAATCAGTGGTATAAAGGTGAAATTTATCGAGGGAAATCTTAACGTTCAAGATAATCATTCAGGATTCATACACTTCTCGAATCGTAATCTTTTGGATAGGATTACACTGGTTTTTCCTAAGTGCTTTTGTGGCTGATATATGTTGTTAATATAAATTAGTTAACAATGGAGGTTTTTGAAAATGTAATCAGTTTCACTTTAACAAAGTTGAAACTCTAAAAACGAATATCCTATTATTATGACAAAAAGGAAATTTTCGAAGGGACGTTGTGTCGTATGCTTAATACTGTTGCAATTCACGTTATAAGTCAGCTATTAACAGAAAGCGTAAACTAGAAATAATTCCTTCTTTAGATTATTATTTTTTCGTATCAAACTGTAGAATCCGCTTGCATTAGTCCAATTACATTCACTTTTCATTCGTTCTTGTCGGTCAATTAACTACTTTTACTCCAATAACTTCGAGTGTGTCTTGACGAGAATAGATAAGTTAGACTTTACAAGGCACAATTATATTCAGTAACTATCAGTATTGGGGTTGTGGAGATTATTAAGTTTTTGATTGAGATCATGAACCGATTGATGTTAGACCACCGTTGGAAACCTGGAAGCACTGGAGGGCCGTTTCGTCCTAGTATGGGACTCCTCAGCAGTGCGCATCCACGATCCCGCTCGCGAACGCTTAACCTACTGGGCCACTGAGCCGGGATCCAATGATGTTAGTGTCTAACCTCAACCAATCCACGAAATTGCGCGAACATCTTCCATTGTACTGAGGTAGATACCTGTCTCTACCCGACACGGATTAGCTCCACTGGTCACGGCTTCTCACTAGAACTTCGAAAATTCCCTCACGAAGCTAGTCACTAGGGAGCACATGTTAATTATCAGTATTCAGTAACCTTTAAAGTTGGATATCAAAGAAATGGAATTATCAATTACGCAAGACTGCTATAGTAAAAAAATAATAATAGCGCAACATCGTTCATCTTATCTAAAACATCGTAAAATGATCAAGACACATACAACAAATATCACATAGATAATGTAATATAAACTAGGGCCTTCACTCAAATGTCTGGTTTTGCATGACTACACTAATTAATTTAGTCACTGGAACCTTAACTAAAGCTGTAATTAGTTAATAAATTTAATGTTTATACGTGTATATAAAGTAGAAACTTGAAAAAGATGATAACATTAGATCATGCAAAATAAAATGTATGCTAATCAATATAATATGACTGTAGTTATGAAAATTATATAATAAGGTACTTGACCGATTTATAAAATAATTTTACTGAAATGTATGAAGCAATCAATAAATTATAGTTTAAGTTCGTGAAGTGTAATTAATCATCACTAAAATATCCTGATTTAGAAAAAAAGCCCAAATATTTCGACTCGTTATAAAGATTTGATAAATCACTGTTTAAGACCTATTTAAATTCTCCCAGCAATACTTTCACTAAATCCAGTAAATTTAAGAGAATAAAACAGTCCCTGTCCAGTTAAAATTTCTTGAAGAAATGAAATTTAATTTCAAGTGAACAATAATTGTAAAATGAATTGTTGAGTAACTATTCTAATTGCAAGTATATTGATAAAAATAAGCTCGTGGTTTTCAAGTCATATAATGGACATGTTGCCCTTTAAACCTTGTAACCGTTTTTATTCGTCTAGACTTACTATTACATGTAGGATAGGCAAAATCAAAAAATGGAACAGTTTCGATTTAGTATTTACTTAAAATTGAGCAGTATATATTTCAGGAAGCTGGGAGACCGGCAGAACCGAACCAACTATTGTTACTTAGTATTGCAAAAATTTCGGCCTATGTAACTCGAATGAACATTAGAATCAGGTTGAAGTTAAAAATATTAAAAATGTAAACTGCACGCATTAACCTAAAAGTCATTTCTGAATAGCTATTGATGACTAGTAGAAAGATAAGTGGAACCCGCTGTGCAATAAATTTTAATTTTAGATGAACCTTTGGATGCTAATTATTTACAGTGAACAGTAAAAATAAACCGAAATACTCCAACTAACTCACTCACCAATATACTATAGCTGTTTACACATTTACGATACAAAACATAGTCATTCTGAAAAACATCAGTACTTATTGATACTGCGGCTGATGTTGATGTACACTAAGTAGCCTTTCTGAAGATAAATTCGCCCTGCTGTCACACTGATTTCATGGGGATTGACCAGATGAATAAGTCTGTTATCAATTTATACAATCCACACTTATCCCACGTTAATCTCTTCAATTAAATTTAAATACCGATCAGTTTAAATTTTGGCGTAGTTATTAAACAACTTAAAAATAGTAGTTGTTTCGTAATAAAAGGGTTATCACAATACTAAAACTGAATATAATTCTCTGGTGAAATTCCTGTAATAGGTAGTAAAAACTAATTTTAAGTAAATCAGCTTTATTGAAAATCACTGGACTGCACGAAACACTGTTCAATATTAAAAAAGATTGTATGTACAATAAAGCTTACTTGATAATGTTTTCTAATGCCATTCTAGATGTTGAGATAACAAGTATAAAGGCAGCCAGATTTAACAGACCACGAAAGTTGTTAAATCCGCTGGATGTTGAAAATAGGGATTGAACAGGTCGATGAATTCTGTGGAAAGAGAAAGGTGAAGACATATTTTATATGAGTAAAATACCGATCAGCAGTAACGAGTCTGCCTGGTTATTGATCTGGATTATTCACATTCTGACAGCTTTTCTCATTCCGCTTAAGTGTTGGGTGTTCCAAAAATTATTTGTTCTAGTTGACTTTTTAAATCGCACTTCAAAAATTGTTACAAAATAACACTAAAGCTGCATTTATTGTGTGTACATTCATAAAACCAAATAATTTTATCACAATAGTGTGATAATAGCAAGGATAAGCCTATGACGTTCTTAAAATTCATCTATGAGAGAAAAACTATTGAGAAAAAATAGTATGTATTTTTGGGTGTAATGTGAAAAACCGGCATACTAAATCATAAAGAACTCAATAACAGAAAATCGTCCTTAAAAAAGCAAAACGGAAGAGCGAGAAAAAAATAGAATAATAAATCTCAAGGCATTCCTATAGATCAAAATATTATAAGCACATTCATCACGGTACTGATGTGTCACTAAATTGACCAAGACTTAGAATACCACCACGAGCAATCTGATTACTTTTTTGATTTACAACTTCATAGCCATAGATTTTCAAGATACGAACCTCATTTCCCGAAAGTATCATTAGCACTATTAGGGCGAAAGTCCTAAAAAGTTAAGGACCATTTCAATAATTCTGGTCTCTATTTCCAGAAAACAAGGATTCATTGAAACTATAGAATTTTTATAGTTTTAATCACAAACTAATTTTAGCTAGATCACTATTAAAAATTAGTGTTATATTCCGACAAGAATTACGAATGGTAACTTCTGAGAATTATTTATGGACGAATACGACACATATACTTTTATGGTATAATTATTAAGTAGATAAACTATGCACATTCATGTTCCTCTTATTAAAAGCTTTATTTTGACGCATAGACTATTGTTATACGATTTACCGTTCTTGAGTTCTGTCCAGTCTATTAATTACTGCCTACCACATTCGCAGCCATTTTTGGCTATATCTTGCACAAATGTTATTTTCTATTTTATGGAGTGATGTGGTCTGTTTGGGTTGTATATAAACCCAGTATGTTTGAAATACATGATTCATATAGTAAAGGTTGAGATTGGTGTTCTGGACTTGATAGGCAGGGCTATGCAGGAAGAAGGACCGATAAGGACTCTAGACTGCTCGTCATTGGTCCGGTCGATAAGTCACTGTTCTCTCCTTGGAGGTGTCGTTACCTTATATATTAATAGGGCACAAGGCTACTAGTTATAACGATTCGGAGGCGCTGAATATCCATTTCGACCTAGTATAAGGATCCTCATCAGTGTGTATCCACTATTCCGGTACAGTGAAACGAATCCAGCACCCCCCAGTCTCCTAGGCGAATCCGTAATCTTCAGACCACCAAGCCATCTTTCAGTGGCGTATACGTCTAATTTCAATCAATTCACAATAGTACACATTCATCTTTCATTGATTGCGGTCATCACACTGTCTACCCGCGAGACCAAATGTCATGGGTTTGATTCTCCGTGTCAAGGTCGTGGGTGCGCATTGGTGAGGAGTTTCATATTAGGACAAAACAACTTTCCATAACTTCCTGGTTTTGAACAGCGGTTTAACTAAAAGCACTTAGTGATTTCAACTATGATAGTCAACATTTATTTCCACAAAGCATTTGACTATCGGAGTGTTTGAACTCCGGAATCCAGTAAATATATTAAATGTTGTTACTTAAAATGAATTCTGAAAGCCTTATAACAATTACTGCGTAAGATTGCAGTTTCAAAGCTTCAGCAGAAGTCCTTATATAGATTAATTCCTTTAAAATTATAGTAACCGGTTCGATAATGAATAAGTAGGAGTGTAATACAGTAAGTTAAAATGCTATCCAACTTATTATCTGTCTTTGGGAAGCTTGAAATTCGATTTTTCACTTTAAGAAAGAGCATAGATAAGGATATCTGATTACGATTTTCAAACTTCATGTTTCCTTCACAGTAAGGTATAGATTTTTACTTATGGTCATATAAAAAAATATATAAATACCTGCGAGAACTAAAGATATTATTGTGATATATCATATTTTGTACTCTTAAATCCCATTTATCATAAAAATAAAATAAAAACACGTGGTGACTCGTCATTTGTCTAATGGACACATGGTGTTTACATTTCAAAGAGGATAATGTATAATGGATTCTGTAAAGTACACAATTGTACACTGATGGCACTCAAATGATCTATTTACATTTTCAGCATTTATTCAGGTGATTTCAAATGACTACAATTACCTTTGGTTTATAAACTATGTGTTCAGGCCAAGTTAGGCTTGATGTTAATATTTGCTGTAGTTTAACGTTCAATGGCATTTAAAAGACATGTTTGTAATTTACAGAATATAAGTAACATCCGAAAACTGTTGTTTAAAAATTATTGGATTTAAAAGGAAATAATGCTATCAGATCACTCATTATTAAAAAAAATAAATGAAATGGGAAAAGGTGTTACTTTTTGACCACCAAATGCTTTGTTCGAATATATACAGTTGGATTGAGTGGAAAGAATTAAATAGATAGTTTATTGAAACAAACTCTGTTTATGCGAAAAAAATTAAGTGAACACTAAAAGATGTTATTATTGCAACTCTACGTTTCAATCACGTTTTAAAAGTTGCATTTTTGTCATTAACAATAAGAAGTGCAAAGAGGCAATCGCCTTGCTATTTTTTACTGCCTCAACAATGAATCCATTAGATAAGAATTTATGCTTATTCTTCATTGTGAATTAGCAAAATAAGTTTGTTTAAAAGAACGTTTAAAGTTAATGAACCCTAATTTAAAAAACCTTTTTCTGGTCTACGGTGCAGACGAAAAAAATGTCACATTTCTGAACAGTATTTTGGACAACTTTTTGTAATCAAACTAATGAATAATTTCATATTTCAATAGTTGAATTCATGAAGCTAGACCACTATGGAAAATCTGGAAGCACTGAACGGCCGTTTCGTCCCAGTAGGGGACTCCTCCGCAGTGCGCATCCACGATCCCGCCCCCCGCCGGCTTCGAACCCAGGACCTATCAGACCTATCAGGTTTTCCATAATGGTCTAGCTTCCATTAACTAATAATTTCAACTATTGAAATTCCTAAAATCTCCACAAAACCCCTTCTGATAATTTTATATTTATTGCACCAATCACTGAAATAAATAACTTTGTACCATACTTCTGTTTGTTTAGCAATAAAACCTTCATAACATGCAGTAATTAATTCATACATAAGAATTTGATTAGGTCATAAAAATAGCTTTAATGAACCACAGGCCTTATTTCTACTGGATGTACAATTAAGTATTAGCAAACATTCTATCGGTTGAAACAATACTGAATTTTATTAATAATATATCGTAGCTAGACAGATTCTATACGAAATCGACTGACCACAATTGATGACTTATAACCAAACACGAAATGATACTCATTAAAAGATGTAGTGAAGATCTACAAATAGAAGCTAAGTAATGAATAACGTGGTTAAAATATTTAACATGAACATTGAAATTCGTAACAGAAAAGTGATTTCACCGTGTTTTTGTCACATTCTAAGAGGATATTTCATTTTTTCAAAGCTTTTTTGAAATGGTAATGTAGTGAATTTCCGTATATATCTATATCTAGATAACGACGACCTATAGCATTTTAAGTTGAAGTTTACAATTATCTCTTCATTTATTTCAAAAGCTTTTTATAAGACTGAAAATATCAATACATAGATAGGTTAGCAGTATTTCGTTTTCACTACTCGAACAACCACTTCAAATCGCTTGTGAGGAATAAAATATCAATTTTTAATTATTTAAGTATATGATTTGCCTTTCAGTATCAATCGTTTGTTTCCGACCTTGAGTTTCAATTTTGTAAGAAAAATTGATAGATTACAAATGACTACCCAAATAAACTCTTAATGAAAAGAATGGCTAGTTTATGGTAGGTTTAAGTAGATGCAAACATAAAATATATGGTCTTTTAACCTGTAAGAATTTATCTACTGATAAATATATCCACACATCTGAAACACAGATTAGTTCGAAACCAAAGCTTGTCACACCCTGAGTTTTTCACGTGACTAAAAAATATCAAACTATTGTTTTGTTACACAATATCCTAGTTTTGCTGACACTATACGGAAAAGCGTTCTATAATATTTAGCAATGAGGTTCCGAGCTATGAATCTCAAGCTCACTATATCTTATATTATGTGAGTCATTTCATAATCTAACGTGAATGGAAGGGGAAAATCCATTTAAATTATATAATGAAGCTGAGTTATTTTAGCTAATTAATTTGTACAAATTATGAATGGTAAAACAGATATACTTGATGTACTGTAGCGGTATTTCATATTATTTCCATGACTCGAAGAATATCACAAAGTTTATTTAGTATTAACAATTATATTATATAACTTACGGTTTATGCATTTCAATATGTGACGTATTAACTGAGAGTCAAATCAATAATATATAACTGTTTCATGATACTTTTTATGGTATTAAAATAAAAACTATGTCTGACACATGATTATTTATAATAATATCAGATATTTTAACAAACTTAAACAACCAATAAGTTTGTGCAGTTGATGAAATATACCAGTTTCTGCAAAACAAGTTCAAAGTTTAACTTAATATGGTGTGATTGGTAAAATGTATATAATCTTAAAATTTTAATCACATGAAAGTCTAATTATTGAAGTGATAATAATCAAAGTGTAATCAGCACTTTCTAGGTAGTTTTTCTATTTGTTCAGAACAAAAGTTTTTACAACCAAATACTGCATTTTGAAGAAAATACGCGACAATGTATTGCTCCACCGTAGTCATCCTAACTGAAGATATAAAAGCCTTTGATACTTTCTAATTTGTGTTAAAAAAGTGTCCTAACCTTATCTGATTCTTCGTTGTGGCGAAGATTTGTAGCACACTTGGGTAAGGACAGAACCGTAT